CACCTGACACAACTCACACACCCTTTTCTTGCACAGGGGAGGGAGGCAAAGGGAGTGGGTTTTGTCAGATGGCTAAGCCTGGGCTCTCCTTTTGCCTAAGGGAGCACTGACAACCATCTGGCAAAATTCACTCCTCTTTCTCTGTGTAAGCTGCACAGGCAAAGGGGGAGCAAGCATTGAAAGAGGGCTAAAGGTTGCCCTCCCATCTTTGCCTGGGCAAACCTGCTGATCATGACCTTTGTCCTAGTTTAATTGCTTGAAAATTTGATACCTACTAGTTACCAATATCTTCACTAGGAGTGACCACCTGCAGAAAAATGCCAAGGTCTAAGGATGCCTGAAAATTGCATACAGTATTTTAACTATATCATCTTACTCCTAAATCTGAGACGTCTACAAATGATTATAGAGAAAATTTGGGCAGCTGCTTGCAAGACTTTAGATCTGAATTGTCCTCAAATACAGCAGAACATGGGCCTACTTAGATAAAAACAGCCCTTAGCCATGGATGGCTGGTTATGAACTCAATAAACCTCCTTTTGGGAGGGTGACAGGAGAGCCTAGAGGTTGTCAAGAAGCTAGCAGGCCATAACACATCTCTGGAGGGAATGAATAGCTTTTAATCAGTTATGATTTGAGCAAACTACAAATAACTCTTGCTTCGTCTCTGTGCAGCTTTCAGCCTACTGATTGCACATAATTGTGAACTTCCAAATCAGGCTGGTTTTGTACCATGTAGCTTGATTGCCGATCTGTGCAATGAAAAAAGCCAGAAAGCTTTCTTACTAGTGTTTTCTTTGGCTCACACAGAATGCTGCTAAGGTATTTTACCAAATAATATGTATATATTTGAGACCCACTCTGCATATTCACCATGACAGTTAAGTATCTCACATTACTAATATTCTTTAAATGAATCTTCTATTCCAAGTATTCCAGCCTTTGTTACCCTATAACCTGTCTGTATCTCCAGAACTATTTATTCCTACTTCCATCACCTGACCGGGGACCAATAAACTGCCTCCCCTCTGAGGCTGCACTTATATAACATATGATAAGTTGGTTTACAATTGATACGACCCCCTTCCACCACCATCACAGAATTCTGAGATACATAGTTTGGTGAAAATATGGAAGAGTCTTTGGATACATCTACATGTCCCACTAACTTCCATTTGAGGTTGCCTGGATAACCGCTCTTGAAGGACATGCCTACATGACAACTTTCCTTTCATCCCCAGCACACAGATGAGGCTAACTTCTAAACTGAAGTTCACGTGTTGTTTCCATCTTCTCCCAATGCAAGTCTTATTATTTGCAATGATGTGTAGCACTTCGGTGGTGACCAAGCTCATGATGAGACAGGGCGAGGATCAGTTCAGCTCCTGTTAACTACTTTCAGCAGTTCTAAACAGACTTTCTGCCCTCCAGTTGCCTGTTTCAAGTCAAGCTCACTTCCTACTTACTTCCTCTCTCCCCACAGTTTATTCATGCCTAGATTGATAGTATGCATGGATGTTTCCCCCTTGCTTTTGCCCAAGTGGGTTTTTGTTTTGTTGCCATCCCTGCTTCCCCCACCGTCCCCCTGGCACTCCCAGGCAAGTTTTGAAGTACAATAACTGCTTCCCCAGACAAGGCTACACTCCGAACCAGGTACAGATGACCATTCAAGGCTTCAGCCAAAGGAGACAGCACTGGCAGAAGCAAGAGAGTCCACCTGTTTTGGCCAGAGGTACCTCCTGCCTGCACTGCTCACCCAGTGGGCCGGTTGCAATACCAAATCCATTGGGGTGGGATGCTGGACTTTTGCCCCACCCTTGTGAATCAGGCCTATAAGCTGGATAGGCACTTCCCTGAAAAGCAGGAGGGGAGAGGCTATCTTGCTTTAGCGGCATCTCCGTTCACACAGCCTGATCCATGGAAGTGAGATGATAAAGGTTGCAGCTTCCCACGAAGCCAGCCCCATGGATTAGGTGCTGCAGGTGATTCGTGGAGTGAGCAGGGGCTTCCTACTAACCTTGCCCCTGCACATCATGTTCTGATAGATGGGGAAACCCACTACTTCAGTCATCTGACCAGATTAATATCACCCACTCCATTAGGAACAGTGATTGGTTGATGCTTTTCCTGCCCACAAGGAAATCCACCAACTGCTGAACTTTAACTTGCCTTACAATAAACCATTAGAACCAGGGGCACCCATATGGGGGTAGTAAAAAGAAAAAAGTCAGGAGGGTGGCTGTGACTGCACAGCCAAACCTCTGCTCCTTTTTATGTGGGTCACATAGGTAATCCACATAAGAAAGGGGCAAGATTTTGTAACTGCGGCCATAATTTTGACTTTTTTGACACACACACACACACATCCGCAGATGCCCCTGATTAGACAGTGCCACTCATAAGCTCGTGAATAAGGTGAGCAGAGATGTTGGCTCTGCAGACCAAACACATTTATGCCAGCATAATTTATGCTGCCGCACAGCCTGGAGGACAGCTCATTAAAGCAACCGCCTGGATGTGCCCAAATTTAGCTCACACAAGCTCCTGCTCAACACATCAACACTCAGCACAATTTTGAGCCGTGACTGTTAAAGAGGCTTGAAAACCCTTTCTGTCTTTATGGCAGACAACGCAGGGAAGATGCAGCGATGGGATCCTTGGTTGGTTGTGCTCCACTAGAGCTCACCTTTCAAAAACAACAAGAAGGGTATTGGGCGGCAGTCATCCCTCAGAGCCACTTAACCATTTATGGCAACAACCAGTGCTCCCACACAGCAACGGAGCAGATTTATTTCCTGAGTGCTCCTCAGGAAAGACTGCAGGTGGGGTGGGAAGACACCACAATGCCCCTTGGACCAACCAGCAATGCATCCTCAGATGTTATCCTTGCATTACAGAAGGCAAATCCATTGTCTCTTCTTGTCCCTGAGCCAGCTCGTTTTATGCCTTAATGAATCGGCACCCCCGTTAAATGGACTCTGTGTCCTTTCAAGGAGCCCTGGTAGGATTGCGATGCCTCAGTGGTTAGCAAAGAGGCTGCCAGCGAGAGAGAACTGGCAACTTCCCAGATCCCTGTATCTGTGCCAGACATGCTCCCTCAGCACCGCTGCAGACAAGGATGCTGGCTGAGAAAAGCGCAGACAGATTGTGGGGGAAACATTGGGGATGAGGGGGCAGGCTGAATTGGTGCCCTCCAAGGAAGGGAAAAGCAATATGTTGTTACTGACCAGACCAACTATTTCTGGGTGACTAAGAACATGGGTAAGTGTGTAAACAAGATATTTAAAGCTCTCTGAAGCGACTTTCATGGACACCTGTCAAGCAAGGACTCTTAGCCATTCTGTGAAGAAATCACAATGGTGGCCAGACTGGAATAACCTATTCTCTCTTTTAATTCATATAGTTATTATACAAAATTAAAGTTAATCCCAGTTTGACTCTCTTTGGTATAAGATTTCAATTTCCTGTTACCATTGCCTATATCAATAAAGTAGAGTTCCAGGATTTCTTGTAGAGTCCATTTGCGGACTTGGCCTGCTTTTGGAGGGCTGACATCAGTCTAGACCAGTGTTTCTCAACCTTGGCAACTTGAAGATGTGTGGACTTCAACTCCCAGAATTCCCCAGCCAGACATGAATTCTGGGAGTTGAAGTCAACATATCTTAAAATTGCCAAGGTTGAGAAACACGTCAGAGTCCATTTGCGGACTTGGCCTGCTTTTGGAGGGCTGACATCAGTCTAGACCAGTGTTTCTCAACCTTGGCAACTTGAAGATGTGTGGACTTCAACTCCCAGAATTCCCCAGCCAGACATGAATTCTGGGAGTTGAAGTCAACATATCTTAAAATTGCCAAGGTTGAGAAACACGTCTAGAAAGCCTGTCAGTATTTTGTCTTCCCTTCCTCTTATATCAAAGAAAATCAATCTTTGGTTTCTCATGCTATCTTGTCTTCCTGGGCTTAATTCATGTATCACTAAAGGTCTTTGCGTTCCTTCTCCAA